CAAACAAGCAAACAAACAAACAAACAAACAAAAAATGAGAGAGTAAAACATCAACAGGAAGACATGTAATGTCAGAAACTGGATTCATACAGGAAAAAGCTGAAGAGAATCCCCAAGAGACAGTGGAGAGAGAATCTCAGGATGTCAGCTGCACACACACCCAAGGGGCAGCTGGCCCAGGTAAGAGCTCAGCAGTCTCTAAGACGAAAACCATCCCTGAGGCTGGACTTGAAATTCCACTGTGAATTTTTTTTTTTAGATGGAGCTTTGTTCTTGTTGCCCAGGCTGGAGTGCAGTGGCGCAATCTGGCTCACCGCAACCTCCACCTCCCGGGTTCAGACCATTCTCCTGCCTCAGCCTCCTGAGTAGCTGGGACTACAGGTGCCCACCACCACGCCAGGCTAATTTTTGTATTTTTTGTGAGATGGGATTTCACTATGTTGGCCAGGCTGGTTTTGAACTCCTGACCTCAGGTGATCCACCTGCCTCAGCCTCCCGAAGTGCTGGCATTACAGGTGTGAGCCACCGCACCTGGCTACTGTGTGGTTTTTACAAAGCTATAGGAATGTGTGGAAACGCTTGGTCCAAAAAATTTGAACAGATTTTTAAAAGCCAAAAAACAAAGCAAATGAAAAAAAAAAAAACAAAAAACGCAGCAATTATGAACTCGTGACTGAGCAGGAAATATTTACATTGCATTAATAATGGGAACACTGGATATGCATTTAACAGAAAATCATATTGAGAGGATGGGGAGGAGGGCCGAGAGTGTGTAAGAAATGTGAACTTCTCCTCTACTGTAAGAGGAGTCTGTAGATGACAGGTAAAACTGAAGGATTAAGAGATTTTAAAAATCAGTCTGATATTTAGCAAGATAAGAGTTTAACCCAGGGAGCAATTGCTGAGTGGGTGGGATTACCGCGGGGACAGGAGGGGCGGGAGGGATGCAGGAGGACTGCTGTTTTCTGCTGTTACAAGCCTTTTCAGCACTTCAATAGTCCACGTTATGCAATTGCAGTTACCTGTGATCAACCACAGTCCAAAAATATTAATAGATTTTGAAAGAAAATGACAGAGATAGAGAGTGTGAGAGAGACCACCTTCTGTTACCATATATTGTTATGATTGTTCTATTGTATATTGCACTATTAATTATTGCCGTTCACCTCTTAGCTGTGCCTAATTTATAAATTAAACATGATCTTTCTCCACCATCGCGGTGTGTGGTTGACTCGGTTCTTCGCCACAGCTTCTCACAAGACTTTCAGGATCAAGCGATTTCTGGCCAAGAAACGAAAGCAAAATGGCCCCATTTCCCAGTGGATTTGTATGGAAACTGGTAATCACATGAGGGACAGCTCCAAACGGAGGTGCTGGAGAAGAACCAAGCGGGGTCTCTGAGGAATTGAACAGGAGATGGCATGCATATTTATCAAGATATCTTCCCACATCAAGTTGAAAATGTCGCCACTATCTGGACAGCTGGACATGTTTGCTTGGGAATATACTTTTTCTCTTTGTTTATATGCTTTGCACGAGTGGGTGGGGTTCAGTAATACATATGTTTGTTTTTTTTTTTTTTTTTTTGAGACAGACTCTCCCTCTGTTGCCAGGCTGGAGTGCAGTGGTGCGATCTCAGCTCACGGCAACCTCTGACTCCCTGGTTCAAGGAATTCTCCTGCCTCAACCTCCCAAGTAGCTGGGATTATAGTCATACGCCACCAGTCCTGGCTAATTTTTGTTTTTTTTTTTTTTTTTTTTTAGTAGAGACAGGGTTTCACCATGTTAGTCAAGATGGTCTCGATCTTCTGACCTCATGATCCACCGGCCTCAGACTCCCAAAGTGCTGGGATTACAGGTGTGAGCCACCGCACCTGGCTGGGATCTTTTATTTAAAAAAAAAAAATTATCAGGCTGGGTGAGGTGGCTCACGCCTATAATCCCAGTACTTTGAGAAGCTGAGGTGGGAGGATTGCTTGAGGCCTGGAGTTTGAGGCCAGCCTGGCCAACATAGTGAGACCCCGTTTCTATTTTAAAAATTTTTAAAATATAGATATGCAAACATCATATAGGGAAACAAACAATAGCATATATATACAGGTTTACTACTGTCCACGATCTCAGGCATCCACTTGGGGTCTTGATTGGTTTTTAAATTTACTTTGATAAAATAAAAACAAATGAAAAATCATTGCATTGGCCAGGTGCGGTGGCTCACAACTGTAATCCCAGCACTTTGGGAGCCTATGGCGGGCAGATCACGAGGTCAGGAGATTGAGACCATCCTGGCCAACGTGGTGAAACCCCATCTCTACTAAAAATACAAAAATTAACTGGGTATAGTGGTGGGCACCTGTAATCCCAGCTACTTGGAAGGCTGAAGCAGGAGAATCACTTGAACCCAGGAGGTGGAGGTTGCAGTGAGCTGAGATCGCGCCATTGCATGGCGACAGACGGAACGAGAAACACTGGCCTCAAAAAAACAAAACAAAACAAAAAAATCCCAAAAAACCAACACTGCATTACAGCTAAAAAGGAAGCTGGAAGGAAGGAGTGTCGGAGAAAGGGAGGGCTCTGGAGAAGGCCGCCAGAGCAGGGGATGCCTCACCGGGCTGGAGGTGAAGAGGGGGGACCCAGCGGTGTGTACTGTGCGAGGTTCAGACAGAGGGCCGAGTGGCAGAGGCAGGCTGAGGCTCGATACATGGGGCTTTTAAACCATGGTAGCGACTGTGGATTTTATTTGACAAGGAACAGGTGTCCATAGGAGGGTCTCAAGGAGGCATCTGGCAAGATTTATGTTCGTAATGGACTCTCTCTGCTGAGTAGGAGTGAGGGTGGCAGCAGGAGACTGCAAGGTGATGATGGGGTGGAGAAGTAAGCCTTCTCTACTGTCTTAGGGTCTCTGGCTGGGCTGAAGAATTACACTGAAATAAGACAGATCAGTAGGAGAAAAACATACAGATTTCATTTACGAGTCACACACACACGCACGCATGCACACACACACAATGACTAAGACCCTAAGAAGTGACTAGGGATAAGTACTTTTGTACCAGGCTGAACAAAGAATGGCAATTGTGTAATTAGGAAGATAAGCGTTCATTTAAAAGGTTTGTGGGTACAGATTTCTTTCGGCCTCGGCTTTCCTTATCTGGTAATAAGAATGCCTTTCTTCCTCTGGGCATAGGGAGGGCGTCTTTCCTGGGGGATTGTATTTCCTGCTTTCTGGAAGAAAAGGAGAGGTCAGAGCACCCTTCCTGCACCTGCTGTTTCTGGAGTGCCTTTAGTCCAAAGAAATCGATATGGCGAAGTGGCAGATTCTGGAGTGATGTGTGCTGAACTCCTTCAGTGGCCTGGCCTGGATGGAGAGCGGCAGGCAGGCTCCGGGGAGGAACAGTAAGGCTGGGTGCCGGACAGGTGTTCGGCGGGGGCACCTGATGAGCATTTACTCCTCCAACCTTCACAAGAACCCTGGGGCTGGGCAGTCAGGTGCGTGCAATCTACTGCAGGAGAAACTGACGTTCAAGGTCACTGCATGGTGGGGGCAGAGCCAGGGCTCCAACTCCCCTGTCCAGTCTTCAGCCCCTGTACCCCAACCTGCAGGAACAAGTGAATGAATACAAGAGGGGAGACCGAGCCTGGAGCAGAGGGCGGGGAGGGAAATCAGCAGGGGAGGAGGCCCGTGCAGGCGGTGGGACTGCAGGAGGCAGTGTCCGGTAGGCTTCAGGGGGACAGCTTTATCCTGAGGGCAGTGAGAAGCCGTGGGGAGGGGAGGGGGTCAGTGCCATAGAAAACCCACCCTCGACCCTGAGGACACGCTCCCAGGAGCCCAGCCACACCTCATGAACTTGTATGAACAAGGACAACGGGAGGCTGAGACCTGGAGCAAGGGACTTGCCCCAGGCACGTGGCAAATGGAGGGGCAGCGTTCAGAGGCCAGGCCAGCTCTAGGTGTGCCCGACTGTGTGCTGCCGCATGCACAGTGGCACATCTGGACCAACTCAACTTCCAGTTCTCTGCAGCCCCAAGAACCTAGTGACAAAGGGGGTCCAGCCCTGGTCCCAGGGAATGGCCCAGTATGGAAAGGAGCTTCAGTGGTGCCTGGCACATAGTAGGTACTCAGCCAAGACGTGTGTCCTTTTCCTTCCCATCTCAGACTGTTCCTTTCCTTACCACTCCTGTGCTGAGGCAAGAATCAGCACAGGCTGGGGCATGGCGTCCCAAGGAAGCTGGGCCTGTGCTCCTGGCCTCAGGGCAGGTCTCATAGAGCAGAGATCAGTAGATACGGCCCAGGGGGCACGTCCCACTCACTGCTCGTTTCCATACGGCCTACAAGCTAAGAATGGTTTTTACAGATGACCATTTGCCATCAATTTGATGATAGAAAACACAAACTCTAAACTCTAATTAGCAAAATGTGATGCCGCTAAAAAGAACTCTATTCTTCTCATGAGTGGACCTGCATTACAAAGCACTGGCCTCAATTATCATTCTGTTTTGAGTTTTGTCCATCACAAAACGGTGAAAATCTGTTTTCTCGCTGCACAGTGATTTTTCCCTTAAAGCCTACAATACTGATCTCTACCCTGTCCTTCCTCTCCTCTCACCCTGCCCGGGGCTCTCCAGATTTAACCAATCCCAGGACTAATGACCCCATTGTGCCTCCCTGATGGCCGGTGCTGCTGAGTGAGCCCAGACTGCAGGACTGGACGGTGGACTCCTGGGCTGGCCGGCCCCACACCCAGCCTTGCCTGGGGACACAGCTGTCGCCCCAGGGGACCTGTGCCGCAGTGGCCTCGGGGAGCTGCTCTGGCCACTGGCTGGCAGCCCCAGCTTCCCTGAGCACTGAGAACCTTCTTTTTTTCCAACTCCCTGCAGGAGCCAAGGCCGGCGGCGTGGGTGGCTGAAATCTCCCCGGTAACAGGGTCTGCCCCCTCCTGCTCCCTCTCCAGGCCCCCCACCCCCCACACCTGCTCTCTGGCCCTCAGCCCCTCCCCGCTGGCTCCCTCCTTCGTGGGCTCCATGTCACCATCTGTGGCACAGTTCCTCTCTGTCACTCTCCTGGCCACCCCCTCGTTCTCCTTCCTCCCTCCTCCTCCTCTCTATCCTGCCTCTCTCTGCATCTCTCCCTCTCGCCAGTGTCTCCTCTCCTCTTTCCTCCTCCTGGTCTCCTGTCACGCATCTCTCATCACTCCCCCTCATTCTGCCTTTCCTCCCACTCACTGTCTTCTCTCTCCCTCTCCTCTCCCTCCCTCTCTCTCTTTCTCCACCTCCTCCCGACCCCCTTCCCCTCTATTTCTATTGGCTTCTTCGTCCCTTGTTCCCCCTTCTCTTCTTCACCTTGGGAAGCTTCTCCCCCGATCCATGCCCCTGCCCCCCCCAAGGATGCGTCCTGGAGATGGGGGGTGACGTACCAGGCGCTGGTTGGGAAGTCAGGGCCGGAGACCAGATGGGAAAGGCTCTGTGGACAGCTGTGGCTGAGGGTCTGGGAGGGGACCCAAGCCCGCAGGCAGACTAGAAGTGGGTGCCGTGTGGGGACCCCAGTTAGTGCCCTGGGGCACCTGGGGACTGGGCAGGGAGAGGGGACAGCAGAATGATAACCAGCCTGGCGGCAAGGAGGGGAGCCCTCACCCCATGGGCAGGTAAGGAGGCTGGGGCCCGGGTGATGTCCCGAAGGGTGGGGTCCCAGAAGCCCATTCTCTGCTTAGGATGAACTTGGGAGACTGGGGCTTGGGAGGCAGAGGGTGAGGAGTCCCAGGGAGGCAGGAGGGAGGCCTGGTGGGCTGCAGGGAGGGGGCGTTAGTCTCAGAATCTTGTGCCATGATTCTAGGATCTCAGAATCACAGCATCACAGGCTTCAGGGCTGGAGGAAGCCAGATGCATCATGTGGGCTTCCCCAGCTCACGTGGCAGCTCTCCTGAGCTCCCTCCCTGCCCAGCCCTGGGCTGGGTACGCCTCCATGTAATCTTTGCAACGACCCTGGGAGGTGGGTCCCCTTGTCTTCCATACGAGGAAACTGAAGTCCCGGGGGGAGAAGTGACTTGTCCAAGGCCACGTAGCAATGTGGCACTGTCGCTGTTTGGTGGAGCCTGAGCCTGGGCCTGTGGGGTGTGCTCCTGGGATCAGGCCCCAGATCTGGGGTTCACGTGCATCAGTCGGCACTGATAACCATAACCCCGTCTCTTTGCGGGGGAAGACCCGACGATGTAGAGGACAAGCAGAGAGCCAGGGGCCATCACCCTACACTATTCAGGACTGTCACAGCCTTTGATTCTTCCCAGCCTGAGGCCTTCAGAGGGGCCAATGTGGCCAGGACAGAAGTGGTTTGAATTCCCACTCTCCAGCTGGGTGACCCTGGGCAACTTACTGAACCTCTCTGAGCCTCAACTTCTCCCTCTCTAAAAACTCTTCCTCTTGGGCTTCTTGAGGATCTTGAGGATCCGGGGATGTGGATCTGAGGCTTCCCCCCGGGGCCAACATCCCACTTTGGAGCTCTCTCCTTGCTGCACTGCTTGGCGGTTCACATTTACGGATGTTCTGGGTCATGTCCCGGGTCCTGAAGTTAAGAAAGGCATCATTCGGGGCCCCTGCATTCAAGAGCCAGTGTTCTACCAGGTAGGAGACGGGCCGGTGGAGAATAATCGGGGTGCCTGGCCTCCCTGAGCTGTAAGGGCTGTGGGGCTCAGGCAGCCACTCACCCCCTCTGTGCCATCTCCTCCTGAACAGTCCTCTGAGGAGTCCGCCCCCAGCTTTCAGGCAAGCTTGTGCCAAAGATAAACCAGACGGAGGAAAAGTCCCTCCTTCCCAAGGATGAACTAGATCAGGCACAGGATTCCAGCTCTTTAAAGAAAAGACGGCCCCTCAATTGCAGGTCTGGCTTACGCGCGTGGAAAACCATAATTTCCCTGCCTCTGCTGCCTGGGTCGGTCAAATTTTGACTGGGAAGGGGTCAAGATGAGGGTGGAGGCAGGGTTTTCTGGGGGTGAGGGGTGGGCAGGGGTTCTGGGAGGGGCGATTGCATTCCCTGGTATAAAGGTGGGTCTGGCTAGGCACGCCGTGTTCCTGCCAGGACAAGGTGTGTGTTAGCGCATGCTCTTGCGGGTGCACAGACGTGGGCTGGGCAGGTGTGGGGAGGGGGGCAACCTCAGAGCTTACCCCCAGAGGGCCACCCCAAGAGCATCTGTCCCTGAAGCCTGGAAATTGCGCCTGTCCAGCTCCTTGCTTCTCTCTGGAGCCTGGTGCTTCCCTCCCATATACAGCCCTGGCTTGCGATTGGCCAACCAGCCGGGCTGCTATAAAGAGGATCAGTGCGTGGCACAGGGTGGCAAGGTGGGTGGTGACGTGGGTCCCACAACCAAGGAGGCAGGACTGTAAAGTCCCAGGCTCCACAAGTCCAGGTCTAAGAAGGACTCATTCTAACATTCTCTGATTCAAGGACACTGGATGTAAAATCTGATGGCTCCAACATTCTCTGAGTGTTCTAAGAATTAAAAATTCTATTTTTAGCCCTCTAAGGTCCGTGAGGCTTTGAGTCTATGATCCTCATAGCTCAAAGCCCTGGGGGCAACTGGGAAAGCTGGATACCAGGTGGGCACTCAGGCAGGTGCCTTCTCAGGCCCGGCTTCAGTTTGCCGGGCTGTGGAATGAGCATAGAGGTGGAGTGTGGTCACTATAGGTCTTTCCAGATTTGCCCCTTCCTAGTTGTGAATAGAACATGTGACCTCACATTTGCTCCCATCTGTGCATTCGGAGTGACAGTAGTGCCTCCCTCATAGGACACCCCATAGGATGCTGCAGTTCACCGGCTTAGCCTGGCACCTGGCACAGTCATCAGAGATGAGCAGCCCTGTTGGGATCCTCTAGCCCACTGTCCAGGTGCCCCTCTCTTAGTGCTGCTGTCCCAGGCTCAGAAGAGCTGATGAGGGGTTGAGGAGAAGGATGGGTTGAGGATAGGTTGGGGGATGACCCAGGCTCAGAATCCTCTTCTCCCAGCTCCAGGAACAGGGAGGAGATGCTCTGAGCCCAGCCAGCTTGGGTTGCATTTGGAGACCCCGTGGCCTAGGGGTTCCTTGCTACCCTTGGCTTCACCCAGCCTGGCACTCTAAGTCCCTTCATCAAATGAACCTTCTCTGGTTCGATGCCCTCTGCAGCCCCAGTTCTTGGGGCAGGGGCAGCCAGGCGTGCTCAGAGGGATTTGTTTGCATTTGGGGTGCCTTCCCTTCCCAAGAGCTTTGCACCTCAACGGTGACGTCCATATAGGGCAGTGCAGACCGCAGCTCCCACTGGAGGGAGGGACTGCAGGCCAAGTGTCAGGAAGACTAGAGGAAGGGCTTCTCCTCTGAGAGATTTCTCTTCCCGTCAGGGTTTTCTGAAGGGAGAATCCGAGGACAGCCAGGAGCCAGGGGATTGGGGGATCATTAGGAAGAAGGGCTGCAGTGCATGGTCCAGGCCCCAGGGGAGGCTCCTGCTTCCAGCCTGGCTCTGCCTGGGCCTCCTCCTGAACGTGGCTTTCCGAAGCGGGTCCTGCCATCCCCTGCATTGGAATTGGTCCACTCCTGGCTTCTCTGGTTTATTTGATGCCTGACACTGAGGCAGAGCTTGTGCCTGTGCATGAGTGATGCAGAGGCAGTGGGGACGGTCCGAAGCTGGCTGGAGATTCTACACAGGTGGCGATCAGAGTCTCGCAGGGGAGCCCCGATGAGCCCCACTTCTTATACACAGGCGTGGGATGAGAAAGGCACTAAGAAAGCCTGTGGAGTGCAGTCCCTTCTGAAACTGGCCCCTTCTCCAGGCGGCCGGCCCCACCAGCCAGTGGGAGGGGCTACTCTTGGATAGCACCTACCAAGAGAATTGCAAAGTTCTCCAACGCCAGCTGGGCCTCTGGGGAGAAGGGGCCTCAGCAAACCCAGGTTTGCAGCCAACCTTTCTGGGCAGGGTCTTTGGGAGGAGCACAGTGGGATGGCCCAGGCTGAGGGGGTGCCTGAGGGCTCTGACTCCCAGGGGAGGGGACGCAGGAGCCTGTGGTTCTTAACAGCCTTTGGAACCTGAAGACTCTGATAACAGCTCTGCCCTGAACCTTCACCTGGAGTTTAGTGTGTTCAGGATCCTCTGAGGTTTATCTAGCGAGTGGGGTTCCAGGTGAAGGTCCTGTGATTTGAACCAGTGTTTTTCAGATGTGAGGGTGAGACCCGTTGGTGACAATGCAACCCACTTCTCAGGGCCCTGCCAGCGGGGCCTCACCTGTAGACAGGGCGGGTACTGGTTTACGAAATGGTGTGATTCATACCGCACAGCACACCCTCGCTGCATGATGGAGCCTCCCTGAGCCTCAGTTTCCTTATTGGAGGAAAGGGGATACCCCAACTCAGCCTTGTGTGGCTGTGCAGGGTGAATGACATGATGCAATCTCTCAGACGATGGGAGGATGGGCATGCAGCATGATGGGAGGGGCAGCAGAGAGAGCCATCCTCTGCCGTGACTGAGCTGTTTTTCCTTCTCCCAGGCAAATAGCTGACTGCTGACCACCCACCTCGGCCATGGACACACTTCATCCATCATCGGTGTCTACAACCTCAGAACCCGAGAATGCCTCCTCAGCCTGGCCCCCAGATGCCACCCTGGGCAACGTGTCGGCAGGTCCAAGCTCGGCGGGGCTGGCGGTCAGCGGTATTCTCATCACGCTGGTGTACCTGGTGGTGTGCGTGGTGGGCCTGCTGGGAAACTCGCTGGTCATCTATGTGGTCCTGCGACACACGGCCAGTCCCTCGGTCACCAACGTCTACATCCTCAACCTGGCACTGGCTGACGAGCTCTTCATGCTGGGACTGCCCTTCCTGGCCGCCCAGAATGCCTTGTCCTACTGGCCCTTTGGCTCCCTCATGTGCCGCCTGGTCATGGCGGTGGACGGCATCAACCAGTTCACCAGCATCTTCTGCCTGACCGTCATGAGCGTGGATCGCTACCTGGCCGTGGTGCATCCCACGCGCTCGGCCCGCTGGCGCACGGCTCCGGTGGCCCGCACGGTCAGCGCGGCCGTGTGGGTGGCCTCGGCTGTGGTGGTGCTGCCCGTGGTGGTCTTCTCGGGGGTGCCCCGCGGTATGAGCACCTGCCACATGCAGTGGCCCGAGCCGGCGGCGGCCTGGCGAGCCGGCTTCATCATCTACACGGCCGCGCTGGGCTTCTTCGGGCCGCTGCTGGTCATCTGCCTCTGCTACCTGCTCATCGTGGTGAAGGTGCGCTCCGCCGGGCGTCGGGTGTGGGCACCCTCGTGCCAGCGGCGGCGACGCTCTGAGCGCAGAGTCACGCGCATGGTGGTGGCCGTGGTGGCGCTCTTCGTGCTCTGCTGGATGCCCTTCTACGTGCTCAACATCGTCAACGTGGTGTGCCCACTGCCTGAGGAGCCCGCCTTCTTTGGGGTTTACTTCCTGGTGGTGGCGCTGCCCTATGCCAACAGTTGTGCCAACCCCATCCTTTATGGCTTCCTCTCCTACCGCTTCAAGCAGGGCTTCCGCAGGGTCCTGCTGCGACCCTCCCGCCGCGTTCGCAGCCAGGAGCTCACTGCCGGCCCTCCGGAGAAGACTGAGGAGGTAGATGAGGAGGAGGAGGATGGGGAGGGGAGCAGGGAGCAGGGGAAGGGGAAGGAGATGAATGGCCGGGTCAGCCAGATCACGCAGCCTGGCACTAGTGGGCAGGAGCGGCCGCCCAGCAGAGTGGCCAGCAAGGAGCAGCAGTTCCTTCCCCAGGAGCCCTCCAATGGGGAGAAATCCAGCACAGGGCACACCAGCTATCTGTAGGGGCCTGGGGAGAGCCGGGGTGGCCCGAGGAAGGGGCAGAAGCTGTGGGTGTGCTTGGGGCATACTTCTCAAGGTGCCAGAGGCCCACGATGGGATGTTGAGGGGCCTGGGCTCTGATGCTCTGGCTGCCAGGACTTTCTGTGTGACCTTGGGTAGGTTTCTTCCACTCTCTGGGCCTCATTTTCTGCTGTGACTCAGGGATAGGAGTCATCAGCCTGGATGAGCTATGTCAGATGGGAGGTCTGTAGGGCACTGCTGCTGGGCTGACCTTGCTGAGCAGGACCCAGATGAAGAGGTGGGTGCAGACTGGCCTCCCCCACAGGGATGGAGTGTCTTGGGGTATCAGCCTGAATCTTGGCCCTCAGAGGGATGAACCAAGGCTCCTTCTTGGAGACTGAGGGAGGGACCCAACCCATGAGGACTGGCAGAGTGTCTGAGGAGCACTGTGGAGAGAAGGAAGAGGAGGGGAGAAGAGGAAGAGGAACACAAGGGGGAAGGAGGAGGAGGAGGAGGGGGAAGGAGGAAGAGGAGGAGGAGGGGAAAGAGGGAGGAGGAGGTGGAAGGAGGAGGAGGAGGCGGGAGGAGGAGGAGGGGGAAGGAGGAGGAGGAGGAGGGGGGAGAGGGAAGAGGAGGAGGGAGAGAGGGAAGGGGGAGGAGGAGGAGGGGGCGAGGGAAGGGGGAGGAGGAGGCGGAGGGGGAGGACGGAGGAGGAGGAGGAGGGCGGGAGAGGGAAGAGGAGGAGGGAGAGAGGGAAGGGGGAGGAGGAGGAGGGGGCGAGGGAAGGGGGAGGAGGAGGAGGGGGAGAGGGAAGGGAGAGGGGGATGGGGAGAGGGAAGGGAGAGGGGGAGGGGGAAGGATGGGAAGGGGGGAGGAGGAGGAGGGGGAAGGAGGGGAAGGGGGAGGAGGAGGGGGAAGGGGGAGGAGGAGGGGGAAGGGGGAGAAGGAGGAGGGGGAGGGGGAAGGGGGAAGGGAGAGGAGGATGGGGAAGGGGGAGGAGGATGGGGAAGGGGGAAGGGGGAAGGGGGAGGAGGAGGAACACAGATCTGTTTCCTGGGGCTGTCTCTGGCCCCTGTGGGCTGAGCACAATGGTAGCATCTGTGAACCTGAGTTGCCGACAATGGCCCCAACCAGTACTGAGGAAAGGACATGGCCAGGATGGAACGGCCAGTGTGGAATGGCAAATGCACAGTGTACAGACAGGCACAGGGCCCTTGTCCCCCAGGGGCCTGAGAGTGCTGCTAATAAGGATTCAGGCTCTAAGAGAAGCCCTAGGGTGGAGCTGGCTACCAGGGACATTGGGAGGCCTGGGGCTCTCCTAGGGGGTGGGGAGCAGGCCTCCCCATGCTCTAGAATCCTGGGGACTACAGGTTGGGAGGCCCAGGGAAGACAAGAAGAGGCTGAAGTGCGACCGTGCAGTGGGACCACGGGGAGCAGCCACTGCCCAAGGCTGAGCCTAGGCTCCCTTCCAGAGCTGAACCCTCGAGCTGTGGCGAGGCTGGCCCTGGGAGGGTGTGACCCCAGGAAATCCCTCTGCTTCCCCACCTCCCGCAGAGGGCAGGGATCCTCAGGGAAAGAAAAGGAACCAGACTTTTGGAGACTTGGATCTTCGGCACACCTCAGGGTCCTTGGCTGGCCTTGGCCTTCCGGGCCTCAATTTCCCCATCAGCAAATGGAGATGAATCCCAGCCTGGCTGCCTCCTGGGATCTGAGGAGAAAATGAGTCATGTGAGCTAACTTCCAGGCTCCCTGCAATGGGTAGGGTGGGGTGTCCTCACCCCCAGGCTAGGCCTACACCCCCTCCTTCATCAAGTGGCCTCTGTCTGTCCTTTGGGGTGAGGACACTGCAGGCCATGAGAAATGGGCAGGTAGGGGGTCAAAGGCTGAGGGTCAGGGAGGCAGAGTATGGGGAGAGTGTGGGACCCTCAGAGGGGAAGGAAGTTCAGAGAACCACATCTTGTGTGGAAATGGAGGCTGGAGGCCCAGCCCTGGGGCTTGGTCTGGGGTTCCTTAAGGAAGAGCTGAGGGTCTGAGGGAGGAGGGACACCCTGGCCTCCTGGCCTTCTCTGGATGGCCCTGCCTTCCTGATGCCAGGACAGCAGAGCAATGTCCTGGAAGGGTGCTGGGAGGCTGCTCAGGAAACTCTTTGCTGCTTCTGTCTCCAGCTCTTGTCAATAAAGATGGTGACATCTGATAACAGTTGTGGCCTGGGCCAATTTCTCCACCAGACATGCCACCGATGGGTGTGAACGTGTAGGTGTGCATGGGCTCTGTGCACCCTGGTCTCTTCAGGTGTGACCTCCCAGAGTCCAGGTCGTTCAGGAGACATGGAAGATACCCTTGATGACTCTGAGCCCGCATCCTTATAGACCTCCATCCAAAAGCAGTAGATGTCCTTTCTCCCTATCATCCAAATATCATCTCGGGGAAGAAAGTGGATTGGCTCCGACTAGGTCACATGATGGTCCCTTGGGCCAATCACAAAGACACAGTGATAGGGTGCCATGATTGGCTGGGTGCAGGTCATGTGCCCACACTGCCAGCCAGAGAGAAGGTAGGGCACTGTGATGGACAGTCTGGCCTGGTCTGTGGGGCAGGGGTGGGTCCGGGACAGCCTACTAATGGCTAGGGGAGGTGGGCCAGGCACCAGCAACCAACAACACGTGGGTCTGGGTGTGTGTGTGGGGTTTGCTGTGTGTGGCTGCCTTTGCTGGTGTGATATTGTGTGTCAAGGTGTGTGTGAGTCCAGTGCAGGGTGCATAGCAGGTGGTTGGGACAGCTTAGCTGCGTCCGTGAGTGAATATGCATTGCAGTGTGACACACGGCCAGTGTGGAAGTGGTGGGAATGGAGGAACTGCTGGGGCCCCAGTGTTGGGTGGGAGTGGCTCCCTGGGCAGGGTCCCTCCTCTGGCCCTGGCAGCCTTTGTTTCCCCACCACACTGGGTGTCCCTGCCAGTGCCTGCCCATGTGCAGCCTGTGCATGTGTGTCCTTGTCCCCCACACACGTGTGTCTGACAGCCTTGTGCTCCCAGGGCCTGGCAGTGCTGCTGTGGCCTTTCTCAGGAGAATCTGGAATGAATGAACAAAGGGAGCCACTGCATGCCACAACTTCAGGGGGGCTGTTCACACTGTGCCTCGAACCTCCTGTGAAACTACATGCTGGCTCTGAATAATGAGTGATAGGGGACAGGAGTGCTGCAGGGGCTTATATAGGGGTTTGGGGCTAGAATCTGTGGCTGAGGGCGGCCTTCGGGGCTGTAGGGTAAGGGAAGCCTCTGTAGCTGTGAGCTGGAGCAGGGAGGATGGGGTGATGATAACCCACCTTGCCCACTCCTGTCATCCTCCTCTAGCCATTGAGGTTGCTCAGACCCAGCCTTTGTCTTGAACTTGTCTTTCAGAGGTGGTTGCCAGGCAACGGCCCTGGGCCACCAGGCTCTGGACCGGGACTTCCTGCATCATCATGGGTATTATCAGAGGGGAGCTGGGAACCCGCAGGGCCTGGGGCAGGAAAGACCACGCCCCCAGATCTTTGGGATCATCTTTACCTAGAAGGGGTGGGGTAGGTGGAGGCCATTGACCCACAGGAGCTGACGGCCTGGACCTCGCAGGATGCTAGACACGGAAGAAAGCGTGGAAACAGGCCGGGCATGGTGGCTCACGCCCGTCATCCCAGCACTTTGGGAGGCCAAGGTGGGTGGATTGCTTCAACCCAGGAGTTCAAGATCAGCCTGGGTGAAACCCCATCTCCACCAAAAAAACAAAAAAATTAGCCAGGTGTGGTGGTGTGTGCCTGTGGTTCCAGCTACTTGGGAGGCTGCGGTGGGAGGATCACTTGAGTCCGGGAGGTGGAAGTTGCAGTGAGCCAAGATCGTGTCTCCCTACTCCAGCCTGGCGACAGAGCAAGACTCCGTCTCAAAAGAAAAAAAAAAGATCATGGGGCCAAGGTCAGCAGGCCTCGGCCCTGGGCCTCCCACAGCACCAGCTGTATGCAAAGCCCCGGCAGGCGGCTGGGGTCCAGTGCAGGCAAACGGACACAGGTCCTGCACTCTCAGCCCTCACAGGCAACCCACGCAAGGAAGTGTAGCCCAATTTTGGGGGCTCAGTGCGGAGGGAGACATGCAGCGTGCGCTGGGAGAGCCGAGGAGGGCTGGGGGCTGATGGGGGCTGCATGTAGAGTGGAAGTTTCAGCCTAAGTGTGCCAGGCAGAGGTATCTGCGTGTGCTAAGGCCTCGAGCTGGAGGAAGGCAGTGAGTGAAAGGAAGAGAGGTAGCAAAGAGGCCCCTTTTTTGGGACAGAGGCTGCGTCACACAGGGCTTCCTAGGGCATCCATTCCTGTTAAGGCTGAATTGTATCCCCCTGAAATTCCTATGTTGAAATCTTCACCTCCAGAGCCTCAGAATGTGGCCTTAGTTGGAAATGCGGTCATCGTAGGTGTAGGTGGTGAAGAGGTCATACTGAGGATGCTCCCTAAGGGGGAGGCCGGGCGTGGCGGCTCATGCCTGTCATCCCAGCACTTTGGGAGGCCGAGGCTGGTGGATCACCTGAGGTCAGGAGCTCAAGACCAGCTTGGCCAACATGGTGAAACCCTGACTCTACTAATAATACAAAAATTAGCCAGGCGTGGCGGCATGCGCTTGTAATCCCGAGCTGCTCGGGAGGCTGAGGCAGGGAAATCACCTAAACCTGGGAGGTGGAGATCACACCCCTGCACTCCAGTCTGGGAAATAGAGCAAGACTCCATTTCAAAAAAAAAGGTGGTGATTGAGATACAGACAGGCACCCAAGGAGACACCACATGAACATGGAGATAAAGATGAAACGAGGCACCTGTAAGCCAAGGGACGCCGAAGATGGCCAGCACGGCAGAAGCCGGGAGCAGCCCTTCCTTCCCTTGCAGCCCTCACAAGGAACTAAGCTGCGGTGGCCAAGCCTGAACTTCTGCCCCCAGAACCGTGAGACACTCAGTTACTGTTGTTAAAGTCACCCAGTGTGTGGTGCTGTGTGAAGGCAGGCCTAGCAAACTCCTAATTCCCACTTAGAAAATGGAGACCGTGGCCCCTTCGCTCCTGGGGCTCCCAGTGGGGACCAGTTGGGTTAACCCATTCATTCCTTCAAACTCTCCAGCAAGAATTTATTGGGTGATCGCTGTTATAGTGAACCCTAAGTTTCTCTTCAAAGAATCAGTATGTCCTGATCAGCATTCTTATATTTTAATTCTTTATTTTAAAGTGTAACTTTCTTGGAATTCCAGTAAGCAACCTTCTCCACCGGTTCTAATCAGTAGTTCACATCTGCTCCCCTTCCCCCCTCATCCTGACTTATCCCGGTCACCTGATCACCTCTGGCTATCTGCTCTGACACACCTGTAACCATCCTCCCTGCCAAAACATGCACCCTGCCACTCAGCCCGGACCCCTGCTCTTTCTAAAATAGCCAATCAGTATTAGTCTAGCTTGTGCGGTCTAACCCTGGCCAATGGGGGACGACACAGCAGTAGGGACAACCCCCGTCAGGAGTAAGTACCTCCTCCCCCATTGTCTAAGCGAGTAGCGGCCATCATTGCTCCATCCGTGCACTGCAGCCCTGCAGAAGTGAACTGCCTTTCTGGGAGGATTCATCTTCCAGTGCTATGTCTTTTGTGGCATCGACTTTTTACTTATAACATTGCCAATTGCAAAACGCTGAGAGCAGAGAAGTCCAGTACAAGCCCTGTCTGTGTTCTAGGAACCGAGGAAGTGATGGTGACGATAAGAAGGCAGTTCTTTTTCTTCTTCTTTTTTACTTTTTACCTGAAAACTTTATCGAAGGATTAAACCTGAAAAAAGAACAATCAGAATGCCAGCCCGTTGCATAAAGCCAGCAAGAAAAAGGAAAGAGAGAGAAAGAAGAAAGAAAAGAAAGAAAAAAGAGAAAGGAAGGAAGGGAGAAAAGAGAATCAGAGCTCTCCGCTTCTTCCCAGAGACTTACGTAGGGGGAGGGAGGAGACCCAGAGAGCAGTTCTTAAGCACAGGGACTCTGGAAGTGCCTGCGCTCGAATCTCAGCTCATCTTCACTAGCTCTTTGATTTTGAGCCAATTAATTAGCCTCTCCGTGCCTGAATCTCCTCCTCTCTGAGATGAGCATGAGAGTAACTGTCCTATTGCTAGGAAGTTTAAATGAGTTAATATTTGCCACAGCATAGGACAGCGCCCAGCACACCATGGGTGCTGTGTGTGACGTGGACATGAGGAGAGCTCCAGCAGGAGCAGGAATCCATCTGCGGTGGGGCTGAAAGTGTTCCAGAAGGGATTATAGTCCAGATGAGTGAAAAGAGAGAACCAGACTGTGTCCACAGGGAAGGCATAGACCTTCCAGTTCCCGAAGACATCTCTGATACGAATTTTAGCCCTGAAGACAGTGGGGCCGGGATGATCATGTGGCTTGCCTAGGGCTACAGCACCGGGAGCCGGACCCAAAACACTGTTTTCCCAGGCCCTAGTCCAGGGACCATAGTTTAAAAAGAAAACTATGAAAATGGGGGCTGAGTAGACAGGAGTGATGATGCAGGGGCGGGGGGAGACAACACCCTACGGGAAAACCCAACAGGCAGAGGGCAGCCCAGGCTCCACGGGGACCTTGGTTCCTCCCCAGAATCCCAGCAGCCAGCAGCCCTCCAGGAAGCCTCACAGCAGCATACCCGCACCGAGGGGTGAATGATGGGCGCAAAGAGCGCACGCGTGTGTGCGGACGGGGACAAGCCTTCGCTTTCTCATAGGCTGAAAAAATGTGCCCGGGCCACACTCAGCATCCCCCCGGGGTCCCAGACACCTCGGGTTCTGGCTCACACCCTCCTGGAGCCCACGTCCTCTGTCACCATCTTACAGGTGGGGAAACTGAGGCCTGCGGTGGGGGTGGGGTATATCGGAGCCCAGCAGAAGAGCCGAGATGTGGCCTCTCCACCCTTCTGTCCGCTTCAATGGCCAGTAAATGTGTCAATATTTGCTCAGGAGAACTGCTGGCTCGACAGCCCCCACAGCGCGCCCGCAGCTACCAGGGAGGGAAAGGAACAAACGCACGATGCCCGTTTTGTGGGCGGCAGTGGCAGGTGAGCTCTCCGCCATGCAATCTGGTCTGAACCCCAGCGCCACAACCTCTTAGCGCTGAGTGCCTTTGAGCCAGCCTCAAAACCTCTCGTAGACTCAGTTTCCTCATCCGGAAAATGGGCTCCACGCCCATTTCACCCGCCTGTCGCAGGGCTGCCGGGACAGGCGGCGGGTGGCTCTGTGCTTCCCCAGGCCCGGCAGGGGGCGCCGCGGGTCCTCGGGCCTCGCCCAGTCGCCACGTGGTGTCCGACCCGCAGCTGCGCTCGGCTGGACTCGTCTCTATTCGGCGACACTTGGCTCCACTCGGCCAGGCTCGGCTCTGCTCGGCTGCATTCAGCAGCACTCGGCCAGACTCGGCCTTGTTCGGATCTGCTCGGCTTCTCTCCGCGCCGGAAGCGCAAGGCTCTTCCCCGGCGCGGCTGCGGCTCCGTGCTACTGGCGCGAGGCCTTGGAGTGTAGGCCGAGGAGGCGAGTCCTCGGCCCTGGGCCCTTGGTGGTGTCCTGGCGGTGGGGGTCCCGCTTGCCTGGGCCCTGGGCTGTGCAAAGGGAGCCACGAGCCAGGGCTTGAGGCCAAAGCGGATGGAGAGGGAAGGGCTCCCCGAGCCTGGCGTTCGGGCGTCGTTGTCCTTCCTTTTGCAGGGAGAGGGGGAGAGGTTGGCGCCGACCACAAGCCGGAACCTGCTGGCTCTGCCGCTGGTCGGTCGTGTCGGGGGAGGAAGTTGCTGCCCCTCGGTGTCCCTGAGTCTCGGTTTCCCCTCCAACAATCAGTACGTTTCCCGCTGGGGCCGAGTGCCTGGCGCGGCGCTGGCGCTCTCCTGACTCAGTTTCCCCTTTTGTAAAATCTGACAGCCCGCTCAACTCCGCTGAACACCTTTGGGATCCGACGTGCGTTACTGAAAGCCCAGGACGGGGAAACTGGGTCCGGAGAGCGAAACTTTACCCGGCCCCTGGACTGGTCAACGTGGGGGATTCGGTAGAACAAGACCCGGGGCTGCCCGCGGGAGGAAGCCGGTGTGTGTTGGTGGGTGCTGCGGGGACTGCGGGGGTTTGGAAGAAGAAGCGAGTGCCTGGCGCGCCGGCCTGCCCCAAAGTTCCCTGAGGAAGGGACGGGCTAGTGGGACGGTGGGGGTCCGGGGTCCGGTCCGGGGCCGGGTAGCCTCCCAGGTTCCCGGGCGCGGCGACTCTGCCCAGCAGGAGGCGCTCGCGTCTTCCTTTGTTGAGACTGATCTCTGCCCTTGAACAATTAGATCTGTGACTGGCCACTCACAGCCTCCATAGCAGAAGCCAGGAATCATGATGTTTACTGTCCTGTCTCTTTTCTGACAGGCACGCATTTTAGTTTTTAAATACATGAAGCGCGCGGTGCTTTGTAAGCACTGGCTCTAATGCGCCTATTTTCACATCCTCTCCTGACCCTGGGCTGTGACGTGGGCGAGTGCAGGATGGTGGCCAGGGTTTTAGCAGGCTTGTTGACCACATCCTGCTGTGTCAGTCTGTGCTTCATCTATCTCCTCTGTAAAATGGACAGACGAGTTAACACGTGTGCCTACCTTAGAGCATTGCTGGAAGGATTAGAGGAGGCACGACATGGAAGGCCCTCAGAATGGGTGGGGCCAAAGCCCTCCGTCTTAGGGGTAGGGGAAAGGGTGGAGGTGCCTGGGGAAAGGGCCCATACCCTGGCTTTCCGCATTGGGGTTCCTCCTTTGCTGCTGGGGGTGATAGCAGGGTGATGAGAGCCACCCTGGGCCCACACTCCTCCTGGTCATGCTGTTGTCCTGGGTCCCAGGGTACCTGAGAAAGGGCATACACCCCTTACTGATGGGTGACCAGTGGGGAGTGCCCCCATTGGACATTCCACCAGTCACATGGTCCTGGCATGTTTATCTGGCCCAGGCACACCAAGGCTCAGAGAGGTAAATTTGCCGAAGGTCATACATTTGGGAGGTTGAGTCATCATCCAGGTTTTTCTGCCCCGGGGCTACAGCTCTGTTTCCAGTCCATCTGACCAACTGAGGAGATCATCAGAAAGGCTGGGACACCAACGGATGACGCAGGAATGGAGGAATTTTCAGGCATGGTGAAAGCAAGTGGGAGGGAAAACACTGAAGTGTAATATTCCAGAGTTCTGCTCTCTTGCCTGCTCTGACTCCAGCCAGCTGCCCTGCACCTAGAGGAACAGGAGGCCCTTCTCCGGGGCATTGCACGCCCTGGGAACCAAATGAGGTGGCCCTGGAACCTGGTGAGTTGCCTGCCTTTCCAGACCTCAGCCTCCTCACCTGTGAAGTGGGGTAAGCAGCTCTTTTTTGCTGAGGAGCTGTTGAGGGTGGCATGGGACACACTGCCAGGCACACAGTTGGCCCTTGACAGAATCATTCCTGTGTCCCCAGCCTGTTTCTCCCCAAGTCCCATCGATCTTTCTCTCAGAAGGTCAGTTTCCTAAGCTCCAAGGCTTGGAGCCAGCCAGGAGCTGTCTCTTTCTCCAGTGCTGCCGACTCAACCCTTTTTCCTTAGAGGCTGCAGGGAGGGAGGCTCCCCTTGGCTCCCTGTGTCTGCAGCCCTGGCTCTGTGCCCTGGGAATGCTGCCTGAGGCAGGGCCACGTAGAGGGCAGGGTCAGTGCAGGCCTTTGGGTGTTCCCAGCGACCACAGTCCTTCTGTCTGCTTTCCTTGGGGCCCCTTTGCACCCCTGAATGGATGACCTGGGGGATTCCAAGTTGGTTTGGAAGGGGCAACACCACAAGGCTGGAGGTTAGGAGGGTCTGGCTGTCATCCCAGCTTGGACTCCAGGCTGCTACTTGACCTTTGGGCCAAAGAGAAATCCCAGGGCCACAGTGTCCCTGCTGGTCAGATGAAAGAATCAGATGAGATCATCTCTGAGGATCTTTCCAGGCTTCATATTCTTCTGTTTGATTATCCCGCAAATACATTGGAAATTGGAGGCCCAAGGATGAGTCCTGGTGGAGGACACACAGCCCAGAGGCTATCCCATCCTCCAGGTTTTGCCCAGCTGTGAGTGGGGACTGGGATTTAGCACCCAAAGCCCTAGGTTTAAATATACCCCCTTCCCCGGGGTCCTTGCACTCCTGCACCTTCCTTCTGCTGGGGATGGCCCTAATCTGCGTGCTTTGTTCCACGCCCAGGCGCAGGCCCCGAGGGAACTCCATCAGGTTGGTGAGTCTTCTGTTTTGTGGGGGGCTTTGCTCCTCTCCACCAGTTATGTGACCTTGGGCAAGTCACTTTAGCAGCCTGACTCCAGCTCCCTAGGACTAGTTGAAGTAAAGGATATAAACACCCTTTGGGGGCCAAAAGCTCCTAGAGAGATGAGACCTGGCTCAGGCAGAAGTCCCCAACAAATGTGGACTAGGAAGATGCAGTAAACAAGCCAGCCAGAACCCACCAGATTTCTTGGGGAAAGGGCAGGGGACATTTGAGACTGTCTTTATGCAGGAGTCCTGGGCCCCAGGAAGCCAGGGCAGAGAGTCTTTGCCCAGCTTCAGCCTAATAAAAAGGAAACTGAGGCAGGACCCTGCCCAGACCCAGAGGCACACAGGCTACCCTCCTATGAACTTCTTGGGGGTCATTTCCACAGGGGAATAGTTCTAGAAGACCAGGATGAGTTAGTAACAATGGCAGGATTGCAGTCAGGGGAAGACGACTTTGGTAGCTGCGGCTGGGGCATGGGGAAGCGACTTGGCTGTGGCCCTGGCCCTGTGTCAGAGGCGTTAGAACCGGAGCGACTCCATCTTGACTAGGGGCTGAGTAAAATGAGGCTGAGACCTGTTGGGCGGCACTCGCAGGAGGTTAGGCATTTTCCCTCATTTTCGTCATTTTTAGGATGAGCTGGGAGGTCAGCAGGACTGGTTTCATAAGGTCAGGTCGTAAATACCCTGCCGGTAAACAGGATGTGGTCCAAAAGCCTGCGACACCCAGCAAATCCAAGGCGGTGATGAACGTCACCTCTGGCCATTGTCATTGCTCATTATACACTAGTTATAGTACTCCCACCAGCACCAGGACAGTTTACTAATGCCAGGGCAGTGTCCAGAAATTACCTTATACAGTCTAAAAGGGAGGGGAGGTCTCAGTTCTGGGGAAATGCCCTCCCCTTTCTTGGAAAACAATAATCCCCCTTGGTTTAGCATATAGTCAAGAAATAACCATAAAAATAGCCGACCAGCAGCCCTCGGGTGCTCTGCCTATGGAGGAGCCATTCTTTCGTTTCTTTACTTCTCTAATAAACTTGCTTTCGCTTTACTCTGTGGGCTCACCCCAAATTCTTTCTTGTGAGAGTCCAGGAACCCTCTCCTGGGGTCTGGATAGGGAACCCTTTCTACTATCATTTTTCTGGTGAACCACGAAGGGACAATACCAGAGAAACCACCGACCCAGAGGAAACAGACCACAGCACCGATTGTCCGACCTTGGGTAAGTGCTGGGGTGTTTTATCCTGTGTCAAGAACGGATTTGGTTTAGGGTCCCTCCTAAGAAAGAGGGGTTAAGAGCCCCTCTTAGTAAAGGGCAAGGATGGTTGTCAGAAATTGGGTTAGAGGCCCAACTTCAGAAGGTTGGAGTCTTTTCTAAGACTTAGGGGGCCAGAGGTCCGCCTTGATAAAGTGCCTTGGTGAGGAGAAATGAAAGCCCTATTGTCTTTGGATTCATCTGCCTTGCACTGTTTGCTGACAGCTGTGGGTGACAGGATTAGGCATGTACAGGATCATGGGACATGGGGAGCTTTCTTCTCCCTAAAGGGGGCAACTTCAGAGCTGATGGGATTGCTGGAAAAGATACCTTCGCTACTGACAAGCGACCGCCTGCACCTCCCATTCAGTGTCGATGGAATGGGTGGTTCTTACTCTGGCTTCCCTTAGTTCCTGGCCTTCTCCACCTTCTGGCAGGCAGTGCTTTTCTTCCCTCTCCTCTCTCTTTCCTATCCTTTCTGTCACTCAGGGTGACTGTCCACTTTTCCATCTTGCCCCGAGACCACATGTTGAAATTCCTAGTTGGAGGCCATTCCACCCCACTTAGAGAGGATCGAAGATGACAAGGGCCATTGGGGGCAAGTTTGAGCCTTGCCAGGTTGATGTTGGGCACTGACTGGGGCGGCTGGTGATCCGGAATGGGAAATATTAATGTTAATTAACATTTAATGTTAATTGGGTTTCCCTATGCAGTTGGGCGGCATCTTACAAAATTCAGAGGCTTTTGCCTGTGGTTCCATGAAATGGAAAAGACGATTGTCTTTTGTAATGTGGCTTGGCCCCCATAGCAATGGCACAGCAAGCAGGGCCATCAAAGCCACACAGAGAAAGGGAACCCAGAAGGCTGGCGAGCTGGCAAAGGGTAAGAATTTCGTATCAGTCAGGCTTCTGGCCTCCCTCTCTTTGTGCAAACTGGTTGAATAAATGATATAAAGTCACTGTCTGTCTCTCCTGCGGGGAATTTGAGGAATAAGCAAAAAGGTGGCTGGGCACGGTGGCTCACACCTGTAATCCCAGCACGTTGAGAGGCCGGGGCAGGTGGATCATGAGGTCATGAGTTCAAGAACAGCCTGGCCAACATGGTGAAACCCTGTCTCTACTAAAAAAAAAAAAAAATTAGGCATGTAATCCCAGCTACTTGGGAGGCTGAGGCAGGAGAATTGCTTGAACTGGAACCTGGGAGGCAGAGGCTGCAGTGAGCCAAGATCACACCACTGCACTCCAGCCGGGGCTACAGGGCAAGACTGTCTCAAAAATAAATACATAAACAAAAATAAAAACAAAAAGGATTTGTGGGGGCTAGTCTTAAGCTTTAGAGAATCTGTTTTACTTTGTGCTATGAATTTATCTTTCTGTGTCAATCTGCCCTAAAAAGAGGTATGGTAGGATAGAATGTGGGCCTAGGACCCCTATAAGCCTATTATTCAAGTTGGCCCAGCAAACTTGTCAATTACAAACTTTGTGGCAGGTCCCTGAAATAAAAACTACATGAGGTTTCTGTCTTGTTTGTTTTATGTCCTTGGGAGTTTAACCTTGTGACCATGTGGGAGTTCTTTCTCTTAGTCTCCATCATCCAGAGGACAGGAAGCTGGAGGTTCACGTGATAGCCGTAAAAATTATCCTGAGCCGTTGACAGCCTTTGCAAGCTTGAAATTGGCTTCTCTAGTTTCCTTCCAGGAAAAACAACAAAAGCTATCCAGTTCTGTGGCTCAGTAGCTAAGGCTTTGTCTTTTCACAGTGGGGTCCCAGGTTCAATTCTCACCTTAGGGAATGCGTCCTTTCTGGTTTAATATCTATGTGACCTTTGCCATTTGTTGATTCTCTTCCCCTCCATAAACAGCTTCTGACTTCTAATTTGAATTTTCTTTCTCTGAGCTATCTTTGGCAAGTCTAGATCTGGTAAAAACTGTTTATCACCTCTTTGAAAATACCTCATATACCTGGGTTAAGTCATAAACTTAGTTAAAGCTTATTGGTTTCACCTGGGAGGCTACTGTTTGTGACGTTCAGAAGCCAGAAATATTGGCTGTTTGTCCTGGCTGGAGTCTGGTAACAATATTTGGTTAGAAGTCAGCTTAATTAAAAATGGATATCCAAGCTATACATACATTGAAAAGGCCTTTATGGTTTTTTTTCTCTTCTTGGATCTAATTTTTCTGAAAAAAGTTTTTCTCTTCAGTCAACTGAATTGTTTTCTCCATTTTGTTTTCTTGCCACTCTTGATGCCCCACCTGAGAAGACCTCAGATGAATTTTAATAGCCTGGGACTCCTCGGGAAAAACAGGAGGTGCCACAGACCCCATTTTGGGAGACACCTCTATTTTCCTCATGGACCCCCAGGAACTGAAAGCAGATAGACCCCTCTCAAAATCTAAGGCTCTGTTCTGTTTCGCATTGTGTTATCTGACAGTTTTGACTTTTGGAGATACCAGAAATCAGTTTGCATTGTAAAAGAGCTTTTAGTCTTGCTGTGTAATAACTAGGTGGGAAATACAGTTTTAGGGATGGCTAATGGCAGTTATGGGGGGATACTTGGCTCTTTGCACATTTGGATCAGAAAAGCATGCTCTTGGCCACCTAGAAGGTATGGAAGCTCCCCAGCCTCCATTGAGAGAGAAGACTCCCATAGGGGATGGGCTGATTCCCTCTCTTTGGGACCCAGGATCCAATATAAAAATGGGACTCTAATTTTGGGCATCTGTTTTGCCTTCAGCTGCGCCTACTTAATAGGCCTTAGAAACTGCAGGGTTTCCTGGCCCTGTTCTTTAAAGGGCTCCACCCTGAAGTCAGTAATCCAATTAAGAAACTTAAAAACTGGCAAATGAAAAATCTTACAACTACTGGATCTTCTGTCTGTGTATTTATATGTGTTGTGTGTGTGATGTTGATATATGAAAGAGCTCTGATTAATTGGCTTATAAATAATAAGTGCTTAAACCAAATATTTTATCAGAAAAAACAGAAACAGTAACACCTTTTGGTTCACATGACTTCAATAATCTTTGGGAAATAAAGACAGTTTTAAAGATTACTTGTAAAATTAAAATATCTTCAAAATTTAGACATTTGGTCTAAATTAGGCAGGTCAGATACTAGGTATGCTAAATGCTTCAAGGTCATAAACTGCATCATTGACTTTTGAAATTGTCCAGCTTACCTGCTTTGGGGTCATTAGATTCTAGATAAGGCCTGAGCCTTGTCGAGTTAGCCACGCCCCCAGCTGTGCTGGAAAGAGTCAGACCTTATCTGCCCTTCTGCCTGGTGTCCTAGGCTCCACACTTGGAACATAATTAAAATGGCTTACTTACCAGGTTTTTCATCAAAAATAAAAGTTGCTAAGAGTTAACATTGTAACATATGTAATTGAGACTACTGGACAGACAGTTATATATGCAAGGTGTGTAAGGGAAGTAGAATGTACTTTTGGTAAGATTATAAGAAAGCATGAGAATGTAGATGTTTCCCCCACTTTAGAGGGTTAAAGGATTGTTTTAAGTTAGGTAGGATAAAGCTGAAGGTTTGAGCAAGTTGTGGAAGGTTTGTGAAAGATTAATCTTGTAAAAGAAATTCTGTGTGAATCTATTGGCTAATGTTAAAGGGATACTATTCAGTTTTTTCATAAATTAAATATGGAATAAAAGTATATGGGGTTTTCTTAGAGCACTGGTATACTCTTTAACAAGAAAATTGTAAAGGGCTATAAAAGGTTTATGAGGATCTTACTTCATGGTCAAACATTAAAATTGGATAGAGTTGTCCGTAAGGCTTTATTATGAATTGAGTTTGACATTAATAGCACACAAATGCAAAGGTAAAATTTGACTTTCTCTCTTGAACAAGATTTTCATGTGTTGCTGAAAAATAATTAAAGATTTTTGTTTGCCTTTTGAATAAGCTATAGAAAAAAGAAGAAAAAGGAAAGAGACAGGTTTTTTTTTTGGGGGGGTGCGGGGGTGGTGGGGAAGCTAAGTATTCCTTTCCTCCCAAAAAAGGAAGACTTTCTTCCCAAAAAAAGAAAGAGAAGAAAAACAGTGAGTAAAAGTTTTTGCCTTTAAAAACATATTTGAGATGTTTTGGCCAAATATATAACTTATGGTGACCTGGGATGCTATTTTATAGTATCAAATGTTTAAAATTTTTGATATTTGACAAACTTTTCAAAATCAAGTTCTAAGTTATGCCTTTTTCTAACCTGATTAGTCCTTTAGATATTAGGCCCCCTTAAGTCCAAAGATGACGTATTTGGCTTATTTGGTACCTTAAAATGATACAGGAAACATTGTCAAGTATGAAATTGTGTTTGGCTTTCTTTGGGCTGTATTTGTATGTAACTATATTATTGTTATGTGTTCCAAAATTATGGGAAACTCCTGTAATTCTGATATGACTTAATGTACATTATTAATAATAATTATAATTGTTAAGTTATTGTGTGCCACAGAGGTATCCAAATTTCCTACTCAATGATATTAATTTCTTTAACCATGGCTGCCCTAAGCGTTTTTGTCATCCATAGACAATTGTCTTTTCATTATCTTTTTTTTCCTCTTAAATAAGGGGTTTATAATCAGCTGTAGGACTTTAATGAGCACTTTTAAATGCAGGGAGAAAGAAAACAACATCCAAGACTCTCTGGGAAAACTAACACATATATATCAAACAAAACAGGAATTAATTGCATAGACTGAACTAATAAAAGACTGAAGTAATCTTGTATGACTTTTTGCTTGAAATGTTGATCTTTCTGTTTTGTTTTTCACAGTCAAGAAACCCCCTCTTTTTGAGCTATTTTCAGCTTTTAATTGTTGAATAAAGTATGCTCCTATAAGGAGTATAAAACAAGGTTTTTGTCCAAAAACAAAATTGAGAATATTTTTTTTTCTCTCTACCTGATTTCTCCAGAATTTGGAAACTATTTGTGAGTGTTCTTAACTTATGGCAATATTGTTATTTGCATTAGTGCAGTAAGAATCTGTTTTTCTTCTCTCTGTCTCTCTCTCTCTTTTCTTTCTTTTTGTAACAGAACACAATTGGAGAAACTGGTTGTTTTACAAGGGTTTGACTGGAATGGCATACTTTCAAATATGAACAGACTGCTTTAAGGAATGAAAGTGGACTAACAGAGCCAATAAAATTCCTTGGAAAAACTGGTCTCATACCTTGTGTATGAAGTCCCTGCACATGGTTCCTGACCTGTAGTAAGTAAAGAATGTAACTTTCTGACCTGCCCAGGAGCCCCAAGTTATCTTGGGACCTCAAGAGGAGAGGCATTTATCTAACGCACACAGGAACTTGCAGGCATAGCTCAATCCGTAGCTGGGCTCAAGGCTTTAAAACATCTCATCTGAGATGCCTTATGAAACAAAGTTCCCTCACAGCCGACTTTAAAAGGAGCGTCTATGGCAGATAATTGTACTTGCTGCACTTTATGCAAAGAATGAAGCAAGTATAGTAAGACTAAAGCTTATTTTGCCAATAAATTGTTCCTACCATGATTTGTTTTTAACTGGAGAGAGAAAAGTGATGTTTCAAAACATGTGGTGCACCTGTCGTTAGATTCTAGTCTCATTGGTTGTTTTTGAGTTTTTTCTGCAATTTAGACTGACCTTGCTTGTTTCTGTGACCCGAACAGTCATCTCTTGACTGCTTCTCATCAGAAACAAGAGGGATGGGTAACATCAAAATCTGGATCCGCATCTGATTCTGTGCATGGATTGGAACCAGCTAGCTACTCATATCAGCTCATTTCCAACCATTGCCCAGGTCATGGAAAGCCTTCTTACTTAGTTTACTTGGGATAATTTTACTTATTTTACTTTTCCGTTGTGGAATATATGGCTGTTATACTCTTTGTGTAAAAATGCATGACAAGCTTACTCAATGCTCTGTTAAATTGAACACGTATTAATCTTCCAGATACCACCTTTTGCTAGGACTCTGAGTTATGAATAATTCTGAGCATACCAACACTTTCTTACTGAACTCTGCTCTACACGAACACAAGAGACTCATAGTTGGGCGGGAATGTCCTTGCCCCTGTTCAGCCTGAAGAAGTTACAGACGATGGATCTTTGTCTCTCTACAACCCTTTAGATTAAGGATTCCCTTGTAAAAGCGAGTAGGGAAGAAACAGGGCAACGCCATCTTAAATAGGGGCTGGGTAAAATGAGGCTGAGACCTACCGGGCTGCATTCCCAGGAGGTTGGGCATTCTTAGTCACAGGAAGACACAGGAAGTTGGCCGGACTGGTGTCACAATGTGAAGGTCATAAACAGCTGCTGATAAACAGAGTGAGGTCAACAACCTGCCACATCTAAGATGATCATGACAGTGACCTCTGGTCATCCTTGTTGCTCCTTGTATGTTAATTATAATGGATCAGCATGCTAAAAGACACTTCTACCAGGACCATGACAGTCACAGATACTGTGGCAATGTCCAGAAAGCACCCTGTATGGTCTAAAAGGGAGAGGAACCCTCAGCTTCAGGAAATCCCATCCCTTTCCTGAAAACTCATGAATAATCCACCCTTTGTTTAGCATACATCAAGAAATAACCGTAAACATAGCCAGCTAGCAGTGCTGGGGGTGCTCGGCCTGTGGAGCAGCCATTCTTTTGTTTCTTTGCTCTCTAATGCACTTGCTTTCACTTTGGTTCTGTGGGCTTGCCTCACGTTCTTTCTGGTGCAAGATCCAAGAATCCCCTCTTGGGGGCTGGATCAGGACTCCTTTCTAACACCTGCATGATACCTGAGGAGCTCAGCCTGCTCCTTCACCCAGCAAACCCGGATGAAGCCCTCCCATGTGTCTGGCACAAAGGGAGCTGAGGACTGCAGTTCTGGAACGCAGAGACAATGTGTCTGGCCAGATCGCCGGTAGCAGGGCCAGGGTTCTAGCCTGTGGCTGGAGGGCCAACACCTGCACCTTTTCTGGTACCCACTCTACCTCTGTGACTCAGAGCAATTGAGCACTTTAGCTCAGGCTGGATTCAGGGCTTCTTGCCCCCTTCCTGAGCAACCTCGGGGCTCCTGTGCCCCATCCCTGTGTCAGTTTCCAATCATCAGCGGGACTCAGACTCCTTCCTGCTCTGACTCACTAGGCCTTTGAATAAAACAAGACTCTACTGGATCACCAAAGAGTTAAGCAAAGAAAATCCCTGTCTCCCTTTATCTCCCAGAACCCAGAGGCTGAAGGGGAGGGAGGAGGGAAGGAGGGGAAGTGGGAAGCGGCTCTGCCCGCTCCCTCCTCCCTCCCTCCCTTCCTCCCTCCCTCCACCCTCTCTCCCTCCATCCCCTCCTTTCTCCCTCCTCTGCTGAGCCTTGGGGTCTGGGCCAGCAACAAGTTAGTTTGCAGACATGGGCCAAGGAGTCAGAGGCCATGCAGTGGCTCAGGGTCCGTGAGTCGCCCGGGGAGGCCACAGGACACAGGGTGAGTGACCAGAGGCTCCTCAGCTTGGGGGCTGGGGTCAGAGCCTGGAATTCCTCTCTTCCCTCCATGCTTCCTGGAAGCATCTGGGGCCCTGCTCTCTCCTCTGACTGGGACAGCCTCTTCAGGCTCTCCCTCCACATTTTCTTCTGCCTTTGGCTGAGGGCTGTGCTCCGCTGCTCCCGGCTTTTGTCTGCCCCTGCCTGGGCACAGCACTGCCCGGGCACACACAAACTCAGCTCTGTATAGCCTGCCTGGACTGAGAAAAGTTGCCTTGCCGTTCTCTCCCCAAAGAGGTCCCAGCTCCCCAGTGGAAGCGGTAAGGACTCCCGAGTGCTCCCTGTGGCTTGGTCCCCATACTGGGTCCCTGCCTGGCACCCTCCTCCGGAGCTAGTTTGTGATCCTTGCTGTGGTTATTCTTCCTCGTTAACAGCTTCCTGATTCCTGCTCCCAGGCCACGGTTCTGTGTCTCACAGCCTTTGACTCCCATCCGGCTGGGGCCAATAGGAATCAGAAATGCTCCCAAACCATGCCAGTCCTCTGGGAGAAGTTCTTCGAATCCCATGCAGGCACAGGGAAGAGATGGGAGCACACTTTTTTTTAAGTCTTTTACAAGGCAGCACTTTCCCTGCATTGAAGTCCTTCCTGGGAAGGAGATGGTGGTGTCATCTTGTAAGTGTCAAGGAGCAGGAAGCCCAGAGAGGTTCAGCCGCTAGCCCTAGATCACACAGCTTGCAAACTGTTCTGGGTCTCAGATCCGACTCAAAGACCTCAGCTTTTCTCATGAGGTTATATCTATGGCTGGGAAAAGGAAGGAAATGTCACTCTTCTCACAGCCACGGGGATTTGTCATTTATAAGCAAAAGTAGAGGATGGTAGTTTCAGACAGGGAGGATGTTGATCTCTAAGGATTTGACTTCCTTAGTGAGCAGAACCAGGAACCCAACCAGGGTGAGCAGAGAGGAGCTTGGGAAGGGTCACCTCGAGGAAGAGGGAGGTGGCTCTGGGGACTTCCTGCCCACCCCCCTTCTCCTGCTGCTACCACCCAGCTCTGGGTGGGGCAGGGTTCCTGCCACTTTATTTATTTTTAATTTTAATTTTTGAAAAATAGAGACAGGGTCCCACTATGTTGCCCAGACTGGTCTCGAACTCTGGCACTAAAGGGATCCTCTTGCCTCGGCCTCCAAAGTGCTGGGATTGCAGGAATAACTCACTGCACCTGGCCATCCTGTCCCTTTAAAACTCTGCGCTCACCTCAGTGCTCAGCTGAGACCGGGTGGCATTTTACAGAGTAATAATTGTACCTTCTCTACATGTATTAACCACAGAAAAATACTGTTGAATTCTACTAAATGTTAAAGGAGAACAAAAAGGAAATAAACAAAGAAACGCCAGAAGTGTAAAAACCAGTCTTGTTACAAAAGCAGAGTTTCTGATCCTGCGATAACTCAGCGCCAGCCCCCAGAAGCTGCACCACCTCAAAGGTCTTTGCCCGGCTTCCTGCCCACCCAACCCAGGCCTGTCTCTAGCGCCTGGTGTCCAGGCTACTTCCTGCCTCTCTCCTGGAACCCTGGACCCTTTCCTGGCCGAGGCCAGAGACAGAGCCTCAGCAACACTTGCACTTTTCTGATCCTTTAGAATTTTTCAGACCTCCTAGTCCTACCTCTTATTCCAATCTACCACCATGGCATCTGATTGGAGGTCTACAAGGATAGACACAACCAACTTCCAATGATTTTTTATTTTGATACCGTCTTGCTCTGTCCCCAGGCTGGAGTGCAGTGGTGCAATCTCAGCTCACTGCATCCTCCGCCTCCCAGGATCAAGCGATTCTCCTGCCTCAGCCTTCTCAGTAGCTGGGACTACAGGAATGCACCACCACACACCCGTGGTGGTTTTAGTAAAGACAGGGTTTTAGCATACTGGCCAGTTGGTCTTGAACTCCTGACCTCTTGATCTGCCTGCCTTAGCCTCCCAAAGTGCTGGGATTATAGGCGTGAGCCACCACGCCCAGCCGCAATGAATGAACTCTCTCCAGAGCCTTCCCTGCAGGGCTTCTGGATAAGGTTGGGTTGCATAGGTTGTTAACTGCACAAAGGTGCTGAGCAGGGCGGTGGGCTAGCGCCAGCCCTTGCCAAGCTGCACACCCTCAGCATCGCTTCCCTCCAAAGGGGACTCTTATAATTTCTAATTTGTCCAGAGGGCACCTTCTTCACTTTGCACAAAGGCACTCTAAAGGCTAGCAGTGGCCGGCAGTCAGGCCCCAGTATGCCTTCTCCGGACTGCTCCGCGATGCAATGACACCGTCACCGCACGCCACCCCGCATGCTCTCATGGACGTCGCTCTGTCTGCTAGAATAAACTAACTCTCCTCTCCCTTGGCAGGACTGTGGTGTTCTCACATCACAGCATGGGCCCGGCCCCCTGTCCCCCTCCTGAGAAAAGCCTGTAGAACCCTTTGTGTTTGTCTCCCATGTCCACTAACCTCTGTCCTCCTGCTGGGGGCTGGGGGACACGTGTTTGCTGGTGATAGTGGAGTCTGTGGCAAGACAATGCCAGAGGGAGATGCAAGGGTGGGAGAACATTGGACAGGCTCCTGGGTTGCCAGCCATGGGCAGCTGGAGTGTCTTCTCACCTGCCTGGGCAAAGGCCTCCTGGGATCCCTTTCTGCTGTCAGCTGTGACTGTCTTCAGAGGGGCTTCTCCTTTTCAGACCTGTGCGGGGCAGAAGCTTCCATGGACTGGGTGCCGGGAGGCTCAGCGTCCAGGCCCTGCTGTGCCACAGTCCCTTCCTGGTCTTGGGGAGCTTGCTGATCTGCGGAGGTCTCAGTCTTCTTGTCTGATAAATGGGGACAATAACCTTCCTTCCCTCGTTAGGTCAGGATCCCTCTGGCTGGGGGAGGTGGCACCCGCCCACCCCAGGCATCTGCACATAGAAGATGTTGAATGAAATTCAGTTCCTGTCCCTCCTTCCTTGTTCCAGGTCACCATGGGGACAGCCGCCCTGCGTCCCCTCTCGGCAGTGCTCCTGCTCTTTCTCCTGATGTGTGAGGTCTCTGCGGTGGAGCTCACCTTAGACGGAGCTGTGGCCAGCGGCTGCCGACGGTGCTGTGACCCTGAGGACCCCCTGGTGCCTGACCATGTGTCCGCTGCCTCTTCCTCCATCCTCCCGCACACCCTGCCTGAGGTCAGGCCCTACATTAACATCACCATCCTGAAGGGTGAGTGCCCTCCTGTGGGGCCTGGTAGTGGGCAGGGAGGGCCAGGGAGCTGAGGTAGAGGGAGTAGAAGGCAGGGCAGAAACCAGTCCAGACCAAGATGCCTCCCACCTGCCTGCCGGTTCTCAGTGGGGAGACAGGCCATGAGCAAGGGACACGTCAGCTAAGTTAGCGGAGTGGAATGTTGGATGGTGATCAGTGTTCTGGGAAAGGAAAAGGGGCCTCAGGAGTGCAGGTCTGGGGTGCAGGCTGCATATTAAACGGGTGGTCAGTGAAGGACCCACGGAGCACAGGCTCATAAGAGGTGGCAGAGGCACATCCTGGCAAAGGGCTCAGCTGGTGCAGAGGCCCTGAGGCAGGGCTTTGAGATGCACCAGGCTCAGGTCACACGGGCACCTGTCACCACCAGCCACCATAGGGACTTGGGCTCCACTGAGAGGGGTGGGAACAGGGGCAGGTTTGAGTGGCAGAGAGACTTGGTCCCACCCAGGTTTCAAATGGATCCCTCTAGTGTCGTGTGGAGAACAGCCAGCAGGGGCCAAGGGTCGGAGCCCACAGCCCTGTGGGGCTCCCAGGGCCATCCAGGTAGGGCTGGTTTCTGCTCTCTCAATCAGACACAAGGACTCACTTCCCTCACAGGGACTGTGGTGGCTGAGGGCTGTGCCAGACCTTGACACCCGTAGCTTCCGTCTGCCCACAACGGCCCGTGAGGTCGGTATTTTCCTGTTCCTCCCACTTTGCAGATGGGGAACTCAGTCTCCCTGGGGACATGCAGCTGTCATGGGTGGAGCCAGGACTTACTTGTTCCTGAGCTGTCCACGGGGCCACACCATTGCACGAACAGTGGTCCTCTGGCGTGTCGTCTGATTTCATGGAGAGGACATTGCTCTTTCTCCCACCCCCTCTCCCACCCAGCTTCCCCAGGGCCGGCTTAGCCCTCTGCATGGGGTTGGAGAGCGCCCGGCTGCTGATGGCCCCTCCTCACGGCCCTCCCCAAAGACGGGTCACTGCTCCTGGGCCCGCTCAGCAGCCTGCTGGGAGCTGTGTTGGCTCCCGTGGCTGAGGGGCCCTGGGCTGGCTTTGGGAGTCCTGGGTCCCAGCCTCAACTCTTTGGCTCCCTTGCTCAGTAGGTCAGGCTGGTCTCTCTCCCCAGCCCTGAACTTGCTACCTTATTGGTCAAAAGAAGATAGTCCCCCTCCTCCTAGCCACCTCCACTCCTTCCCTCTCAGGCTGAGCTGTCCAGCGTTCTGCACGCGGTCTGGGGCTGTGCAGGGGAGGGGCGGTTCTCTAGCGAGGCCGTGGACTGCACCTCTGCAGAGCTGTGGACTTGCCCTGCTCCCCTCTCTGGGCTTCTGCCCCAAGGGACTGTGCCTTCCTTTCTGCCCCGTCCCCGACCTGTGGAAAACACAGGGCCTTCTAGTCCGTACAAGAGTGTGATTGCTGGCGTGACTCCAGGCCCTGTGACAGGTGACAGGGAGCTATGTGAGGCCAGGTCCCTCCAGGCGTGGGCGGCTGCCAGCTTCTCTTATGTTGAAAGTCAGCCTGGACTAAGGGCCAGGCGGGGCTGTGCCTGCCTGGGGGCCATCGTACATGCTGCTAGACCTCAGAGCAGGTCGGGATGGGCCGGCTGGGCTGGGCAAACTGTTGGGCCTCTTATTTGCAGAGGTTGCAAAGCGCTTTCCCATAGGACATCTTGTTGAGGGGTCACAACCACCCATGTGAGATGGACATCATCCTCTGCAAAACACAGACCAGAAAACCGAGACCCCAGCCGTGGAGTGCCCCAGGTCACACGGGGCAAGACGGCCAACCAAGGGCTTCCTGGCTCCTAACCTGGGCTTTTCCTCCAAGTGGGCGAAGGTATTTTGCTTGGTTTCTTCCCTGGGTAAGAAACCCAAAGTGCATTCCAGCATGCCCCACACCCCGCCAGCCTGGACTGTGGCGCCGTGGCCCCGGGGTGGGGGCCTGGGCCTGGCCTCCCAGAGACAACAGTCGGACCCTCCCTGCTGGGCGCAGGGACGCCAAGTCGCCCTGGGGACAGAGCACATTTTAAGTCCTGCCTCTTCTGCTCCTGCACTGTGTGGCCCTGGGGGAGTCACTTAACCTCTCTGTGAAGTGAAGATGGTCATGATGTTTTCTTGTCTCTTTTTGAAATGGAGTCTCGCTTTGTCTCCAGGCTGGAGTGCAGTGGCACGATGTTGTCTCACTGCAGCCTCCACCTCTCAGGTTCAAGTGATTTTCCTGCCTCAGCTTCCCGAGTAGCTGGGACTACAGGTGCACGCCACCACGCCCAGCTATTTTTTTTTTTTTTTAATATTTTTAGTAGAGACAAGGTTTCACCATGTTGGCCAGGATGGTCTCAATCTCTTGACCTCATGATCTGCCCGCCTTGGCCTCCCAAAGTGCTGGGATTACAGGCGGGAGCCACCGCATTGGGCCATGTTTTCTTTAGGTAGGCATTTGGGAAGGCAATGTCTGCCATATAATAGGTGCTAAATAAATCCTGGCTGCTTCTCTGGACCAGGACAGGGGCAAAGCCTTCACAGATGAGTGTGGGTACCTCCCTGGAGCAGGCTCAGATGTCCACCCTGAACTGTCCCTTTCTTATCCCCACAGGTGACAAAGGGGACCCAGGCCCAAAGGGTATCCCAGGATCCAGGGGCATGGATGGTCCTCAAGGAGAGCCTGGCCCGCAGGGCAGCAAGGGCGACAAGGGGGAGATGGGCAGCCCCGGCCCCCCTTGCCAGAAGCACTTCTTCGCCTTCTCGGTGGGCCGCAAGGAGGCCCTGCACAGCGGCGAGGACTTCAAGACGCTGCTCTTCGAAAAGGTCTTCGTGAACCTCGATGGGTGCTTCGACATGAGTGCCGGCCACTTCGCCGCTCCCCTGCGTGGCATCTATTTCTTCAGCCTCAACGTGCACAGCTGGAACTACAAGGACACGTACGTGCACATCATGCACAATGAGAAGGAGGTCGTGGTCCTGTACGCGCAGCCCAACGCCCGTAGCATCATGCAGAGCCAGAGCGTGATGCTGGATCTGGCCTCTGGGGACCGAGTCTGGGTGCGGCTCTTCAAGAGCCAGCGCGAGAATGCCATCTACAGCAACAACTTTGACACCTACATCACCTTCAGTGGCCACCTCATCAAGGCCGGGGACGACTGAGGGCCTCCGTCTGGGCCATCCTCCCAGCAGGAGAGCTCAGGGGCTGGCCCCATCCCCTGCCAAGGTTGGTTTGCATCTTGGTGAAGCCGGAAGGCCAGGGAGGTCCCCGGGGACCTGGCATTCTGGAGAGCCCTGCTTCTTTCTTGGCTGCTGCCGTCCCTCCCAGACTATTTCTGCTCCTCTCTTCTCTCTTGGACCTATTTTAAGAAACTTTCTAACCTAATTATTCTAGAACTTTTCCAGCCTCGTAGCCCAGCACTTCTCAAACTTGGATGTGCACTGGGGTTCGTGTGAAATGCGGATTGTGACTCAGTCGGTCTGAGTGGGTCCAGGATTCTGCGTTGCTAACACATTCCTGGGTGATGCTGTGCTATCTATCAGTCTGTGAACCACACTGGAGCAACCAGGTTCTAAAACTTTCTCAATATTCTGAACATTCTAGAATCCTCCACACATTCTAGAATATTCCCAACTTTTTTTTTTTTTTTTTTTGGAGACAGGGTCTCGCTCTATTGCCCAGGCTCGAGTGCAGTGGTGTGATCTGGGCTCACTTCAACCTCTGCCTCCTGGGTTCAAGCGATTCTCCTGCCTCAGCCTCCCTAGTAGCTGGGATTACAGGCGCCCGCTAACACGCCTGGATAATTTTTGTATTTTTAGTGGAGAAGGGATTTTATCTTGTTGGCCAGGCTGGTCTCAAACTCCTGACCTCAGGTGATCCACCTGCCTCAGCCCCCCAAAGTGCTGGGATTACAGGTGTGAGCCATCTCTCCCATTTTTAAATCCTCTCATCCCTCCAGGGCTCCCTGTGCTATGTTCTCTTTGCCCCTTCCCCCTCTTCTCTTGCTCACACCTGCACTGCCACAGCCACCATTCATTTATTCACTCATCAAACACTGAGCACTCACTCTGTGCCGGGTCCCAGGAAGGGTGAGAGAGTCAGACACAGGCCCTGCACCTGCCTCAGTGACCGGCCAGTCCAGCCCAGGTAGGGAGGGATGTGTATGCAGGTTTTGAAGCAGATCCACAGCTCACACGGGTCTGTTCTGGGTGTTCACGTGCTGCTGGTCCTCCATAACCCACTGCTCCCCAAGGCAGGCAGGACGGGGTCCCAGTGGCAGGGGCAGGTGCCCCCCGCCATGTTCCTCATCCACCTGCTCAATGTCCATTGTTAAAGCAAACCCCGGGGGCCTTCTCCAGGTCAAGGATTGTGAGTAGAGGACTCAGGAGTGTGGGGGCTTTTGGGGGTGAAGGGGCCCCTGAGGAATGGAGCCCACACCCATAGCTCCCCCGACAGTTGATATGGCAGCCTGTGAGGAAACCTGCCCTTCTCACTGAGATCCCCTTCCTGCCTCCTCCCAGGGATCTGCCAGGGCCTTGCTCCCCTCCTTCCACCAAAGGCATCTGAGCCTCAGTTTCCCCAGGACCTCCAGCTGCCCTCAGACGCTGATGTCTGTCCCCAGGTGCTCTCTGCCCCTCCTTCCCCTCTCACTGGCCCAGTGCCCTGACTCTGTAGGCTTTATCAAGGTGCTAAGGCCCCAGTGGACAGCTGCTCACCTCAGAGCCCTCCCCCGGCCTGGTGCTACCGCTACAAATACCTGCAGGGGAAGGGCCAGGGCGGAAGCCCCAGGCTTTGGAGCCTTCAGCAGGTCTGGGGAGCTGAAGCAGTCTATATTCCGTTCACTGGGAGAGGCTGAGGCAGAGGAGGGACCTCGGGCCTTCTGTTTCTTCTCTCAGGGTGGGGTGGCCCTTCCAAACCCAGGTGGGCTGCTCTTCTCCCTAGAGGGAGGCAGCCTCTGCCCATTGGTGCTCATGCGGACTCTGGGGCCGAGGTGCCCGGGCCGGGGGTGGGAGGGTGGTCTCTGGTGCTCACAGCCAAGGGAGGTGTAGCTCCATGGCCAGATGACAGAAACAGCCTGACAAATGCCAGGAAAACTGGTGCTATCGACCACCGCGTCTGACCTTGCCCTGTCCTTCTGTCCAGCATGATTAAACAATGCTGTCTCCTCTTGGCGACTCAGACTGGTTCTTTCTGCCCTGCTCCCTCTGCTCACAAGGAAACCAGCCCCCAGGTCACACAACCCATGCACCTTGGAGTTAGTGGAACCGGCAGACAGAGTCTGCTGTTTCGCTCTCTGGCTGTGACCTTGGGCAAACCCCCACATCTCTGCACCTCGGTTTCCTGTCTAAAATGGGGATGATGGTAATCTACCCCATGTGGTGGACGTAAGGATGCCAGGTTGCCCCGTGAGTGCCTACTGTGTGGCGCAGAGCTCAGCACCTGTGCCACTTACACTCCAGTGAGGCACTCAAAAGCCCCCTCTCCTGCCCCGGGGACCCTGTCTCATGTTTTGTGTCTAATTATAGTGATAACTGCCGGGATCTTCTCTCCAGGAAAACACACACTAACCCACTGTATGGTGGGACAGCTTGACAGGTCTGGCTTTCTAATATGTAGTCAAGTTTGGACTCTCTAGGCCAGCCTGGTGGCTACTCACATAAATCTATTTAAGGTGACCTCCGAGACCAGGCGTGGTGGCTCACACCTGTAATCCCAGTACTTTGGGAGGCCCAGGTGGGCGGATCACCGGATGTCGGAAGTTCCAAACCAGCCTGACCAACATGGAGAAACCCCATCTCCACTAAAAATGCAAAATTAACTGGGCGTGGTGGCGCACACCTGTAATCTCAACTGCTTGGGAAGCTGAGGCAGGAGAATCGCTTGAACCCAGGAGGCGGAGGTTGCAGTGAGCCTAGATTGAGCCACTGCACTTCAGCCTGGGCCACAAGAGCGAAACTCTGTCTCTAAATAAATAAATAAAGTGATCTGCCCTGATTTCCCAACAGACTTGATGAGGCATCCTGCTCTATGTATCCCTAAAGCATTGCAATGCCATTTTGGGCACCAGGTGGAAGAAGTGTGCTATCAGGAACCAACCATCTGCACCTGTGCCGGGACTGTCTCTTCTCCTTTCCCCCTCCCGCACCTCTCCCGGGATGCTCAGAGAGGTCACTCATCCAACCCATGCTGTTAGAGCATGGCTGCGTGCCAGACGCTGCTAATACCCACGTACACCGTCACACGCAGTCCTCTGTTTAAACCAAGCCGAGACTCACAGCGGGGAAATGACAAGCCCGGGTCATAGTATAGGAAAAGTGAAGCTGTGTGCCCTGAGCCAGGAGCTGGTCTAGGGAAAGGGTGCGCAGGGGTCAGAACCCGCAGCCTGGCTCCAGATTCCATACACTCCAGCGTCTGAGCACTCACCGCTCGCTCAGGCTTCCCCAGCCCTGTCACGTGCACTTAGTATTCTCTGGGGCAACTGCTGCTAATTTCATGTTTTCTGCCCCACTGCCACTTCTCAGCCCAGCCCAGCAGCCCGCCTTACAGGGGCAGACAGGTCTGTTTCCTCAGAGCTCACCTGTCATTGAAGGGAGGCTTCCCACAGCACCTGAATGTCATGCAGCTCTGGCCAAAGGGGCTGCTCCCACGTCAGAGGCAACCCTGGGGAACGATCTCACAGCATGCTTTTGGGCCAGGGTCTGTTTGTAAATAATAGGCTTCACCAACATCCCAGCTCAGGGCCTCGGGACCAAGGCTGCCGTGAGTGCCAGCCTGCAGCCTTTGGTCAGGTACAGCACGAGGATGGGCGGTTTGTGCTGTACCAAAGGGTCTGGCTTTCTAATATGTTGTCAATTTGGACTCTCTAGGCTATTTAAAGTGACCCACGGCCGGGCGTGGTGGCTCACGCCTGTAATCCCAGCACTTTGAGAGGCTGAGGCGGGCAGATCATGAGGTCAGGAGATCAAGAGATCAAGACCATCCTGGTCAACATGGTGAAACCCCGTCTCTACTAAAAATACAAAAATTAACTGAGCGTGGTGGCGCATGCCTGTAGTCCCAGCTACTTGGGAGGCTGAGGCACGAGAATCGCTTGAACCTGGGAGGCTGGAGGTTGAAGTGAGCGGAGATAGTGCCACTGCACTCCAGCCTGGCGACAGAGCAAGACTCTGGGTCTCACAAATAAATAAATAAGTAAAAAGTGGCACACGTGGTGGCTCATGCCTGTAATCCCAGCACTTTGGGAGGCCGAGGCGGGCAGATCACAAGGCCACATTAGTTCGGGGAGCTGAGACAGGGAGATCTGCCAGGCTTAGTCCTGGTGACGTCAGCAAGCTGGTTGAATGTCCGTGTAACCACCTCTGGGCAAGCCCTTTCAGTCACATATTTTGAAAATGATGTTTTCTGCCTGAAATGTTAGGCAATGAGGAAGGGGGAGGAGAGGGTGGTCAAGAGGAGCAGCGGCATGGGAAATGAAAGACCCCTGACAAGGAGTGTGCCCCAGGCAGGGCAACCTCACCCCCACATTGCCATTGCTTTGTTGAGTGACCTGGGGCAAATACAGGGAAGATTGATGAGGAAAAGGGGGATTAGATGGGAACCTGAGTTAAAATCAGGGGCAGAGCTGATGCAGGTATCTAGCTTGACCGTGACCTGCGGTCTGGATAGGTGGGCTACACCCATTTCGCCGGCTAGGTTAGGTTGTGTCTGGAAGTGTTCAGTCTTCCTGGGAAGATGCTCTGCACAGGAGCTCCTCTGCCACATGGGAGTGTGGGGAGTGGAGCAGAGAATTCTGATGTGTGATCTGGGAAGGCTTCTTAGTGGAGGAGCCGTCTGAGAAGCGCCTTGGAGGATGAATAGGAGTTTTGAAAGACAATTGGCTCGGGGAAAGAAGCCGATGGGAGGAGAGGATTGCAGGTGGCCCAGTGTGGTCTATGCTCTGGGCAGTGGGAGAGGCCAGTAGGTTATATAAATGTCTGGGAGGGAGGCAGAGAGAGCAGGATGGGGTTTGAGACAGGGAAAGGATGGAATGGAATGTCAGGCCAAGTCTAGGGTTGATCTCTTAGGTGCTGGGGCACCTTTAAGAGGCAGATCACTCTGTGGCCAGGAGGAGCACAGACTGCAGAGGGTGAAGCTGGAGGCAGGGAGGGGGCCCGTGTGGTGGTCCAGGGAAGGACATGGAATGCCCAGAAACTGGGGGAATCATGAAGCTGTTATGCTGGAGGATGAGGCGTGTCCCCAGTGGACTTTGAAGTTGGTGAGAGATCCAACAGCAGAGAGGAGAGAGGAGGGCCGCCAGGTGGGAGAGTCCAGCTTGGATAAAGGGTCTATCAGGGCGTTGCTCCCACCAGGCTTTCCTTAGACAGTGGGAAGCCAGCAGGCCGGGGTGCCAGGAGGTGGGCTTCTGTGCCAGCTCTGCCCAGGAGAGTCCCTTGTTTGGCTGCAGGACGGGAGGGAGGGCGTTGGGTAAGTTGTTTAGCCTTTTGGGGCCCCCATATTATCCTTATCTGTAATATCAGATTCAAAAGTCCTTCTCTCTTACCCCACTGAGGACTTCAGGGCTGCAGACAGAGGCATGACTACGTTTAGAAACCACAAATCAGGACCCATGGATAAGTGGCAGTGGGGCAGAAAACATGAAATTAGCAGCAGTTGCCCCAGAGAATACTAAGTGCACATGACAGGGCTGGGGAAGCCTGAGCGAGCGGTGAGTGCTCAGACGCTGGAGTGTATGGAATCTGGAGCCAGGCTGTGGGTTCTGACCCCTGCACACCCTTTCCCTAGACCAGCTCCTGGCTCAGGGCACACAGCATCACTTTTCCTATACTATGACCCGGGCTTGTCATTTCCCCGCTGTGAGTCTCGGCTTGGTTTAAACAGAGGACTGTGTGTGACGGTGTATGTGGGTATTAGCAGCGTCTGGCACACAGCTGTGCTCTAACAGCATGGGTTGGATGAGTGACCTCTCTGAGCATCCCGGGAGAGGTGCAGGGGGAAGGGAGAAGCAACAGCCCTTGGCCGGGGAGGAAGCCCTGCAGCCCCCTCCCCTCTCCTCTCCCCGTCTCCTCCTCCTCTGCTTGGCAGGCCCATCACAGTAGCCACACACTGCCACGTGTGCATCTGGAGGAAAGGAGAAACACAGGCAGAAACTTAGCATGACCAGAAACAGATGTCAAGAGCATTACGGGTGAGGCCAGCGGGTGGCCGCAGGAGCCAGAGAGGAAGGAGGGATTTCCAGGACACGAGTCAAGAGAGCGTGGGGCTAAGCTGGTGTGGCTTTGGAGCAGCTGGCCTTCAGACCCAGGAGGACAGGAGGCGGCTGTGGCCAGCACCTGGGGGCTGGGGTTGCAGCGTACGGTCAGGTGGGCTGTGGAGTTGCAGCCTGGAGGTGGTGGTGTTGGCCAGACAGCTGGCCGTAGGCACGTGGAGGAAAGAGGTGACCCACTGCAGGTCAGCAGTAGGGTGGGAGGGTGGGGCAGTTCCTGAGGTGGCTGCCTGCTCTTCACTGCTGGTGGGAAAGAACGGATGACACAAATGCAGATATTTGCAAAACAGGCCATGCTTTATTTCTCTGAGTAAATTTTGCTTCTGTTAGGCATTTCCATGGGCTGAAGTCAAAGAAATGTGGTTTTGGCCAGCTGAAATTCTTCCCCCCCTCCCCCCGACATTTCCCTGTGGCTGCATCTAAGTGCCCCTCCCTGCCAGCGGGAGGAGCTGGGGCACTCCATGTCCACGTATCCTCTGCTGAGTTAGGCAATGTCCCATCTGCTCTGGGCTCCGGGTCCCGCTCCCATACCTGCTGAATCATGCTCACTCCCACAGCACCTCCTGGGTCCTCATCCTTCTTGGGACACCTGGGTGCTCTCTGTACACAAATTCCTTGGCTCTCTGAGGACTGTCTGACCCAGCCCCATCTGCCTGGATACACTCTGGGGACACTTCTTCCCTGGGGTCTCGGCCATCTTCCCAGGTTCTGCCCAGGAAGAGAGGAATGTCTCCTCTGAAGCTCAGATGTCCCGAACCTGTTGGGGTTCAGCCTGGGGAAGAGGGGACAGGATCACTTTGGCCAGGAATCCCAATCCTAACACATTTCTTGTTTCCCCTCTGTACCTCCCGACCCCATCATCCAGGGGTACCTTGAGCTCCCCTGAGTGTTGGGAGGAGGCTCAA